AATTTTACAGAAAAATGTACATATTTTGTCGATATTTTGAGTAAAAGTCACCGAGCGCATGTGTGTTCAGGATCAATATTTTGATATAATGTGTAGAATGATAATATCAATGAAATATGTCAATATTGTTCCTGAACAAACTTGCGCTCTAAAAATGTTAAAGCTTAAATTGTTGAAATTTTGTCCATTTTGTCCTCTTTCTGAAAAAAGGATATAAAATCGGACTAGTTTATGACGTCATAAAAACCAAAATTGTGAATACACTGCTTTGACACTATAATATTTTCTGTTAACTTATATTTCTCATACAATTTATTGAATTCAGCACATTTCAGGAAGTTTTCAAAATTTGACTTTTGTGGGGGCAAAAATATGCAATATACCGCATATAGTTCTTTCATATACTTAAGAAATAAACAACAAGTCCGAAGGGCTTCTCAGTAGATTTGATCATGTACCAATCAAAAGTTCATTTCCCAGTGATCTTTTTACATTGCTGTTTATTATTTATATTTACATTTGAGACAAAGAGATTTGAAGTAAAACTGCATTTATTACATGAAGGGCCGCCGTATTGCTATTGTGGTGCACAATAACCTAGAAGTTGTTTCGTCGTGGAAATTCGAATGTTTGAATGTTCACATTCATGTGTAGCACTCTGGTTCAGAAAATATATGTATATATTGAAAGAACGATGATCGCTGCTAAGAATTATCTAAGAATTTCATTAGTTCTTAAAATATTTGAAGTCAAAAGTGGTGGTATCGTCTGCTTTAGTTTAAATAACTCTAAAGGACTTTCTTGTTGAAAAGGTAAGTGTGGTTTTAGGCTAATTATAGTATTCAAACCTAATTAACATGGAAAGAAGATAAATTGGTCATCTCGTGATTAAAAAATACCCATATTGTTTATCATTTTATCTTTTTCATCGTTATTAACTTGAAAATATTCCAAAACAAGTTGCACCGTGACGGAAATATGTAGACAAAATATCACCTCGCTCTGTGATTTGGTCGCGCTATGACCTCTGACTCCCAAATAAAATTTTCTCTTCAAAAGGTTCATCTAAGAAAGATATTGGAAAATGTAAACGTTAGGTACTGACGTAATTAATGTGTACGATTGTCGATAGCTGCGGTCAGTTTACACTTATGCTATGTGTGTAAAACATGTTAAAATGTGTAGAGAATTGTCAATGATAACTCGCTGACATGTTATTCCCTAACCTAAAAAAAGATACAAATTGTAAAGTGTCAAAACTCCATGAACACTCTTTACCACCGTTATGCCTGAAAAGTATCTATCAAGATTCATGAACACTCTACATCTTTATGTGATTTTAAGTGTCAAAAACCAAATTATTCTTTGTATTGCACACGCAAAATGCCTCTCTGAGTTCAGTCTCTGTACATACATGTACTACGGAGTTAGTGTTATATAACTTGAAACAGGTAAATAGGGCTGGGTATTTTCCAATATGAAGTGACAAAGATTTTGATAATTTTTTTGTATATACCTCTCCAAAGCATTGTTTAGGAAACAATGCTTCGGATGCTGGATCTGACCTACATTTTCCAGATGAGTGACCAGGTTCAAGTTTTTGGAGCAGGTCCATTCCCGAGGATTTATAAGCCCTACCCGGACAAAACTTGCATGCATGATGCACCTAGGGATGGACACTACCAGACTTGCTTCAGGTGCTGGATCTGACCTACGTTTTCCAGATGAATGACCAGGTTCATGTTTTTGGAGCAAGTCCATTTCCAAGGAACTATAAGCCCTACCCGGACAAAACTTGCAAGTATGATTAATCTGGGGATGGACACACCAGACTTGCTTCGGATGCTGGATCTGACCTACATTTTCTAGATGAGTGACAAGGTTAAAGTTTTTGGAGCAGGTCCATTCCAAAGGAACTAGAAGCCCTATATGAACTAAACTTGCATGTCTGATGCATCTAGGGATGGACACACAAGACTTGCTTAAGATGCTGGATCTGACCTACATTTTCCAGATGAGTGACCAGGTTAAAGTTTTTGAGCAGGTCCATTCCCAAGGAACTAGAAGCCCTACCTGAACTAAACTTGCATGTATGATGCATCTAGGGATGAACACACAAGACTTGCTTCAGATGCTGGATCTGACCTACATTTTTCAGATGAGTGACCAGGTTAAAGTTTTTGAGCAGGTCCACTACCAAGGAATTATAAGCCTTACCTGAACAAAACTTGCATGCGTGATGCACCTAGGGATGGACACTACCAGCCTTGCTTCGGATGCTGGATCTGACCTACATTTTTCAGATGAGTGACCGGGTTAAAGTGTTTGGAGTAGGTCTATTTTCAAGGAACTATACGCCCTACCCGGACCAAACTTGCATGGATAATGCATCTAGGGATGGACACTACCAGACCTGCTTTGAATTCTGGATCTGACCTACATTTCATTTCCAAGTAACTATAAGTCCTACCTAAACCAAACTTGCATGGATGAGGCCTCTAGTGATGGACAATACCAGACTTGCTTCGGATGTTAGATCTGACCTATATTTTCCCAATCAAGAGACCAGGTTAAAGTTTAAGGAACAGATCAATCCCAATGATCTTGAAGTCCTAGATTTCTGTAGTTTTAACAAAACTATGTATATTTTTTTTACATTATACATGTTTTTCACACTAGAGGCTTAGAAATGTGTAGAAATGCCATGTAAGGGGTTAACAGATATTGCAAAAATATTGTTGTTGGGATAAATACCAACTATTAAGAAAAAAATATGATGTGAGATTTGCATTACTTTCATTGATAACATTCGTCGAGGTGAACTTCGTTATCTTTGATTACCAATGTTTTAACTTGGTTATTACCTTACAATATTGGAATGTATAGATGATTCAATGCTGCATGCTGGTTTGCTAAAATTGCATATATGCATGACCCCCATATCGCGTGACAAGTTTTAAAAAAATCATCATACTTAATAGGTACATTTGATCCACGTTCCATTTGTCCGATATGAGTAAAATTCATTTAATTGATTAAAACGAAGAGTTAGGTTCACTTTATGCATAAAATGGCCCTATATTTATATTAATTAATTAACTATCACACTCTTTCCCAATTCATGTATCAAAATAAAGTCGACACTTGGTGCTAGCATTTCCTTTAATAAAATTTCTTTTTGCGAATCTAGATATTGGAAAATAAGCTTTGAGAAATTGCGATGTTCTTGAAATTTCGGATAACATGCGTATTTGACTACCTTCAGCAAAGACTTTAAATATGAGCACACCCCACGATCCAAAAAAAAAAAACATTTTTATTGATCTTCAGAAACATATCTGTCATTATGTGTTTGCATATTTTGGATAAGAGGTTGTGCTTTATATGAAATATTGCAAAAAATACTTCAACTTTAGGCCGATTCAAAATTTTCATTTATGACGTCATTATGCATTGACTAGGGTAAAAAAATGTCTTTATTAATAGATACCTGGTCACCTACACTCCAAGTAATAAATACTGCATTTGCAACCTAAACTGAGCGGTTTTCATTTTTCAGAAATTTTCAGGGCCAAATTAGTCCCAAAGTTGTTCCTGCTTTTGGGGAATATGCTAGGCAGTTCTTTATTTTATTGAAGTTATGTATATAATAGTTTTTTTCAGTAAAACTTTTATACTTTTTTGAAAAATAAAACTAAGGTTATAATTGATCGATTTTTTTTTCTTTTCTACGTCTCATTCGGTTTTTTTTTTTTTTTTTTTTTTTTTGTTCATACACATGTAGAATGGTCACCACATACAGGTAAAGTTTTCAAATTGATTTCAAGCCATTGAGAGTGAGAGTTATTTATTGTTCTCTCTTAATGAACCCGCTGAAATTAAGACAAAGGTTATCTTTAATGATATCATTTATAGCTTTCTGCTATGATAAGCAGATAATACGAGGACGGAGAAATTATATCTACTTCATGAAATATACAAGTTTGTAAATGATATATTATTCCGCTTCAAGTAATACGGAGATGCTGCAAAGTACAATTATGTCGCAAGGAAGGCCTATAAAGATACATTTCAGAAAGGCACCTACTGAAAAATGAAGTGAACTGTATTGACTGTATTTCTTAATAATTTTGTGTGCATACATAACTTAATCACAAACTTTATGGATAGCTCAAATTTTATATTGAAGAGTGAACTTCTGACCACCCAACGGGTAATTGATGGTCAGCTGTATTGTATCATCACTTTACACAAATATGACTACACTTGGCGAAGAAACAATTACTAAATAAATTAACCTCTCAAGTTTGACATAGAACGAAGACCAGGGTTGAACTCAAACATCGTAAGTGAAATTTTGAAATAAATAATCTATAGCCCACCGCCCCCCCCCCCCCACACCCCCCCCCCCAAAAAAAATAATAATAACGGAAAAGAAAGACAAGAATCCAATCAAACGACAAAACAAGTAAAGGCAGAAATATTAGCAAACAAACATTTTTTTTTTCAAATGCAGTCATAAAGATTTTTTTGCATTAGGAATTGAACTAGTGTTAATTTTTCATTAATACGCAATTGACTCAAACTCAAAAATTAATGCATTTGTGCTTCTCTTTCGTTATATTTTTCGTGGTAGGGGAGTATTGGGATGTAAAACCAGATCATGCTTTAATCTGTTAGATCTCACGAACAACATATATATTATCTCTATACTGTGTGTTCACTCTACGTAATGTCACAATGGGTGTGATTGGTCAACAGGAGATGTTTACTCATCCCAGGCACCTGATCCCACCTCTGGAATTTCCGGAGGTCCGTGTTTATGCTCGTCACATATTTGTATTGTTTCTATTTCTTGTGAAATCGATCACTGTTTACTAACCTCGTATTTTCATATCCTGCTGTAGCTGCAGGTAATATCAAAATATGCATGAAATGATGATTTGTAATTCATCACAAAAAAAAGCTATCACGATATGCACCTGTTTCAATCACGTAAGGCGGTTAGCTGACAAGTATATAAAGTATGCTTATCAATACAACATGAAACAGCAATTATGGAACGAATGTTCTTACTTCTCTTGGTGTTGACCATTGTCAATGTAAGTTCACATTGTTTTCATTATATTTTCCCACACTTATTGAATTATGTTTTATTATACAGTGAAACCTGTCTAATCCGACATGCACTGGTAAACAAATTTTGTGTTGGAATAGACAGGGTGTCGGATTGCACAGTGTTAAAAACAATGAAATTACTACAATGGGAAAGAAATTTAACGTCGGAATTCACAGTATGTCGGATTATTCAGGTGTCGGATTAGACAGTTTTCATTGACTTGCAATATAATTTTGTAGGAATGTTTTACTGCATTCTGTTGATTTTTCTGCTTGTCTGATCACAACAAGGATCGTACTGAAGGTGTGAGTGGTCGATGCTTACTCCTCCATGACATCTAATCTAACCTCTGATGTTTTAAGATGTCAATGTATAAAATGTATAGTGTATCAATGGACATTTGATCTTTGATATTGTTTGTTATACCCAGTGGCTAGTTCAGGTCGGTTCATCTTGGTTAAAAAAAACAGAAGAAAAAAATGATTCACATGAAGCATTTTTGTCGATTTCAGATCTTAAATATTTTTATACTTTTTAGAATTCTAACTTTTTTTGTATTCAAAAAAATCTCTTCTTTGTATCAGTTACAAAGCTCGGAGTTTCACCATTGGTTTGAATTAGTGATACATGTACAGTTTTGAAGAAAAAAATTCGATGTTATGTTACTTGCAAAAGAAAAGGAATTTGAGATATAGCATTATATTTCCCCATAATCAAAGCGTATGGTTCTACATTATTCCCTGTACGTACATATAATACTTGTATAATTTTGTTTTTAAGCAAAACATATTTCTTAAAAAGAAGTCTACATACTTTATCACAAGATACAAAAATATAAAATGAGTTAGGATGTTGTTATCTAAAATTGAGTCAACACTTTATTTTAGGTTGTAGTTAACGGACAAAAATATCGTCCTCTACGTAAGTACATGTAATAGTGCATATGCGTTTAATATAAAAATACAAGGTTGTTAATTCTTTTTCTTTGAAAAGATATCATAATGACCCCTGCATAATGATACAGATTATCTCAAATATGATGAATCTGAAGAAAAATTCTTATTCCCCTGTTATTTATTTATTTATTTTTTTTTTTTTTGAATAAAACATTCAATCAAAACACAATTTTTAAGAGACATGAATTCACAAACGAATACACAGTTAATTTATGTACATGTACATCTGTTCAAAATTATCAGTCTTTGTTTCACTTGATACATGTTTTTACATGTATATATTTTTTTATTAATACAGCAAATCCAATCTGCAGTTTACCTCCAAAATCCGGTTTTTGCAAAGCCTATATACCCCGGTATTACTATGACACCAAAACGGGCACCTGTCAGAAGTTTATTTACGGAGGCTGTGGGGGAAACGTTAACAACTTCCGAACTAAAGAACTTTGTAATCGGATTTGTCATAGAAACTGTAAGCAGTAATTCTTTCTTACGTATTTGCTTGGCATTTCAATCAACATTATATTTCATATTTTATATAACAGTGTTGAAGAGGAAATGCAAACAATTTTGGTACTTAGAAAACGTGCAATGATGTTTGTAGTTACAAATATAATCAAAAGTAAGGTCAAAATGGTGTCAAATTTATACTAAATAATAAAAATGGATGTGTTCGCAGTGTCGTAGAAAGAAGAAAAAATGAAATTATCATACAAAATAGAAAACAATACAGATTAAGTTCTCATACTTTTTTCAAATTGATATATGTTCTAGATAAAAACTAAAGCTAGTCTTATCAAAAAGTTAGTTTAAAAGTATTTTATTCATAATATAAAGAAAGAAGCGTACAATGTGAATATGGATTGAACAGCAGGCCTAGGGCCTTTATTAGTTCTCTCAACTTTATCTAAATGTTGTACATGATACAAATGTATAATTTACTGTGCAAGCGTAAATTTTAGTGTGGGCACAAAATTTCGTTGACTTGTCATATAAAATGGTTTCGTGGACATAAAATTTCGTTGTTTCTATGTTAAACCAATGCCAAAAAAAGTCATATAAAATGTGGTGTTGGATATTTCGTTGATAATCGCAAACAACGAAATAAATGAAATTTTTTCCCTCGAGAATATTTTTACTTCACAGTTGTCATAAAAAACCGTATATATGGGATTTTTTTTTTCGTTGATAATTGTTATCAACAAAAAGAACGAAATTTAATCTCCCATAAATATTTGTCGAGTATATATTTTTGCAGAAATTAAAACTTTGGGTCGGTCTCCTTCAATGCTTTTAGATGTTCCCATTGTTGACCTAAGTGGAATGTAATCGTATGCTTCTATTTAACATAGAAACAGTGGTTGCTGAATTAGAACAGTTTTTTTCCGTACAAAGACATATAGATCCTATTATAGCTGGGTACTTTATAATCGTCAATCTAATATATCTGTTTTTAAATTAAAAATATACTAGCACAACTAAGAATTTTGATAAATTGTAATAACTTTATTTATTAGCTTGATTTTTTCACATGTGTTTTCTGTAACCTATTTGAAAGATTTTAATTTTAAATCTTTCCAACCCAATTTACATTCAAAGAGAAACTATGAATGAATATTTACAGTTGTAAATATAAAACCTTACGACAATTTATTGCTAGAAGCAATCAAATACATTTAAGTTAAAATTGATAGACTTCTCTTCCAGAATTTCTGCAAAATATAAATACCAAGATCATTTACATGTATGAACTTTGTTAAATATATATTATGCTTTTAAGGAAGTCATTAAATTTGCATCGTTATAAGCATAATTTATTTTATTATATAGTCTATTTATAGTCCCTATATAATCTACACAAACGCGAACAGTTCATGACACTACATATTCACCGGATTTTAGACCATATTCACCGGAGGGTCAATGCGCGTGCCACGGCATTGTGACGTCACAATCAAAACATCAAAAAACGTTGTAAACAATGGTAGCAACGGCCGCAGTGAGCAACGTATCAGGGCAGAAAAACAATTATTCAAACCCATTTCAGGATTATTTTTTTTACGTTTGGACGCCTTACTCATAGTGAATCTCGGAAAGGAAAACACGGAGGTTACAAACAGTAATCTGGAGATTTTTTTAATTTTCAACAATGGAAAATCGCAAATGAAAATGATGTCGTCATACAACCTTCAATGTCTTGTTTATCCAAATCCCAACTATATAATAAATCAATTATGGACCCATTTGGTGTTGAATATGGTTTGTGTTTCACCAGAAAATATCCATATTGACCTCGGCTTCGCCTCGGTCAATATGAATATTTTTCTGGTGAATAACAAACCATAGTCAATGCCAAAAGAGTCCATAATTGTATAGTATACATTAATTTCACAGAGAAAGAAAATGTCTATTCCTTCTGATTATAACTGAATTTGTATTTCTTTAGGTTTTTTTTTAGATCGATCTGTGTTTGTTATCTTTAATTTTTACCTAATATCACAAAAATGCCAAAATTTGTAAAAGTGGAATGATAATGTTTTAGCTCCACCAATTGTTTTTTTTTTATTTATTCAATTTAAAGTTAATTTGCAGTTTCCTTTCTTTTTTTTCTTTTTTTTTTGTATATTAAAGACTGCTCAAAAATAGGATGTTTTGATGGAGCTTGCACTATCCAAAAATGTCCAGCCTTTCCTCGGGCTACGTGCATGTGAGTATAATCTAAATTAACTAAAAGAGTCATAAACTAAGTGACTATTGAAAACTATTTCATTTTTAAATCATTTAAATGAAGAAGTATGCTTTAAAAACACTTTGGTTACATAACTGTGTACCAAATATAGTGTCAAACCCCCCAAAAAATACGACGCGTGATATTTAAGGGATCCTTATGTGTAAAGAAGGAAGCGACTTTATGTTGTTTAATCATACAGCCAATATTTATTCACATCCCGATAAAAATAAAAATAAACTTTACTATTTCTATTAAAAAGATTTTTAAAAATTTATATCAGTTTTTTTCTTATTAACATTTCTTAATACAAATACAATTGTTTCTTTGACAGAGCTGTGTGTCCTTGTTGGTCAGTTTGGGTATATAACGGAGAAGACGTTACAACCAAGTGTTATCGCAAAGGATAGTAAACTCACTGGAGAAAATGGTGCAAAATTCAAACATGACGATTAAAAACACTGTATAGCTGCTCTCGTCTTGTTAAAATATATAATTTTAAACAAATAAAGAAATGCAATAAATCTTATAAGTACTTTTTGCAAATAATACAAATCTACGTCTTTTTTAAAGATGAGTAGGAAATTGTGTCAATTCTCGGGGATTTTAATATTTACATCTGTTTAAACTTTGATATTTTACCAGAAAAAAAGTTAATGGTAACCTATTTACAAAGCATTATGAAAAACGTCATGAACAACTTTTAATCGTCATCTTACCTTACTTATTCAACAATATACATGTACCTTTATCACTAGCATACAGAGTTTATAACCCTCAGCTGATTCGATAAGCAAAAGCCTGTTATACGTATAACAGTTTCTAAAAGTAAGTTATTGACAAACAAATTGAAAAAAAAATATCAACAGTCTCTCTAAAAGTCATAATTTCGTCAGTTTTATTGTCGATACAATGACCTTATCAGCAAATGCAGTCTAGCAATGGTAGACATTTCATATTTTCTTTGTTTGGTACCCTATATGTTCTAAGAAAAATTAATTCTTGCATTTGACCAACCTCTCTCACTGGTACACTTTTTTTACCGTAGATATTCTTGTTTTATCAACTTGTTTATCAATAACTTGCATACTTATAGAATGTACTCTTGCGTATCAATTCAACTCGGACTCCTTACGCAGGTGATAAAATTATATTGCTAAAGAAGATAGCATTAGAAAAAATTATCAAGTTAATCATGTAGTTTTTATAAGGTAAACATTAATATCCTTTTCAATGAAAAATCCAAATATTAAACAGATGTGTTGAAAAGTATATATATATAAATATATATATATATATATATATATATATATATATATATATATATATATATATATATATATATATATATATATATATATATATATATATATATATATACATGTGGTATCTTTCCATTATATAAACATACAGAGAGAAAATATCTTCAATTTTGTGTGAAGTTTGTCAGAGGTCAGAGGTCAATACATGACCTAATCACACGGCGCAATAATATCTACCGGTACATGAATTATAAAATGACCTGCTCTGCTTGCTTTTCATGTATAAAAATGAATAAAATAAGCAAGTAAAATGATAATATTATTTTATTTTAAATGTAAACAAGTATTTCATACAGTTTTTGGGCTATCGATTCAACCTGACTGTGTACATAGAGAAAACTAGGAGCCAAGCATTTGTTTACATTTTTCTTCACTTTTGTCAGTTGCACAGTCTCTAACGTTCATCCTTATTTTTTGGATAGACCTTTGGTTAAATTTTCATGATACACTTTTTTTTATCTTTAAATTTTACTCACGATAAATGTGTAAATCTGTTTGAAAATATCTTTGCAATCATGCCATGAACAGCTGCCAAACACCTCGGCGTTTTCGTAGTTCAATGTAAAGCTGTCGCCAGTGTCTCCATGTTTATCAGTGTTTTACGATAAGTATGCCTTTAGTTGCTGAAACCGTGGAATGTTTTTGATCAAATTGCAAATTAACTGGCTCGAACAAGTGTCTCAGTCCATGATCCATCCATCCCTTTCCAGCGACCGAAATTCCTCCAACTTTTTATCATCAAACTTCGGACGTGTTTCTTGTGTCTTTTCAGCATCGATTATCATTTTTTACGAATAAAATATTCCCAGACAACAATCTGTTCACTATTTCTGATCACAAGCAGCCTTTCACAAAATATTCCCTTCGAAATAGATTCCTTAGCCTAATGAATTCGAAGCGTAACCGCCATGCAAGCCGATTCACACCTTGCGTCATTTTTCAAAATCTACGACGGACGGTTAGTGCAATAATTTAAATTCGAAAATATTCAATTGTCTGTCTCAAATGTATATATAAGTAATAAATAACAAGTTTATAAACTTCAATGGGAATTGAAGTGGGTCGGTACGTGATCAAATCTTCTGAGAAGGCCTTCGGCCTTCACAGGATTTGATCACGTGACCGACCCACTTCAATGGGAGGCCTTCACAGGATTTGATCACGTGACCGACCCACTTCAATTCCCATTGAAGTTTATAAACTTGTTATTTATTTCTTAATATATATATATATATATATATATATATATATATATATATATATATATATATATATATATATATATATATATATATATACGTTGATAAGTTAAATCCTTGGTACAGTAAAAAATACTTAAATAAATATAAACAGAATGCTGCAGTCCAATTTAAATATAATCTTTACTGTAAGCGCTTTCAGCCATGTTGGCTCTTCAGACAGTTATAAAAAAAATCAAAATGTTGTCAAGAACGTTGCTAATGACGTCGTGATAATTTAAGGCATTATGACGTCATAATGTAGTTTGTAGTAGCGGCTGCATGAACTTTTTCAACGCAGTCAAAGAATGTATAATTAAAGCATAGAAATAAAATAAGTTTTGTGAATTATACATAATGTCATTTGCAATTCAGTTTTGGTTTAAAAAGTTTTATAAAGTAGTCCTCTTTTGTAACACGGGCGATTTCATCCGATGTCCACATTTTGTAGAACGGAAAAATCTTAAAATTCCCATTACCACACTCGGCGAAATGTTCTGAACAAGGGGTGCATCTGACAGTTTCGTCCCGTATATGTTGTTTGTGTACCCTCACTCGTGCGTTAAGTTGATTTGTCTGCCCTATATAATATTCGCCACAGGTTGGGCATGTTGCACAGTAAATCAAATTTGAAGATTTACAATTCATATTGGTATTCGGTTTTAAAACTTTTCCGTTTTTAAGTGTAATTTGTTCGCCCTCCTGAATGAAATCACACGTCCCGCATCGGGGGTCACTACACTTTTTGACGACACTCTGGTTGCTAGAAGAAAATTTTGCTTTGGTTAATATCCTCTTCAGGTTTGGTGCTTGTCTTCTGCTGTTAATAATTGACGACTTGTCCAGAAGATTTTTCATGTTATCAGATTGTTCTCATATTGGAAAAAATCGCTTTGCTGAATTGAGAATATTGTGGTTACGGGGGTTGTGAGATATCACAAATGGCATATTCTCTTCGTCGTTTTCCTCTGGATGGCGAATATTTCGTAATTGGGTTATAGATATGTCTTTAGCCCGGTTGATTCCGTCCTCAATAAGGTTCACTAGGTAATTTTGTCGCATCAGGTGTTGTTTTAGTTCTTGGAGTCTTTTCAAGCGTAAAACGAATCGGTCACGATTGTACCAATACGTCTCGCCATATTGTATGGAATGTTCCATTTAGTATGTGATGGATGGCAGAACCAAAAAAATATAAATATTGATGGGTATCTGTTTCTTTACAGATTAGGTCTGTAGAAATATCCTCTCCGTTTTTTATTATAAGTATATCAAGGAAAGGAAGCGAGTCAAGATTCATGTCACTTGTGAAAGTAATTGAATCGTGTAACTCATTTAAGACCGAATGAAACTTTGTAAGATCCTCTTCGCTCTTTGTCCAAAAGATGAAGCAATCATCTAAGTACCTTTTCCAGTTCTCTTTAATGTACTATGTAAAGTCTAGATCAAATGTTTCCGGCAAAATGTTGTAAAGTTTTTCTTCTAAAAACCTCATTACTAAACAGGCATATGTAGGGGCGACTTTGGTGCCCATGGCAGTACTTTTGATTTGTAGATAATTTTCATCATCAAACAGAAAATTATTATTCTCTAGTACAATTCTAAGTCCTTCTAAAATGAAGTTTGCGGGGAGTGTATCGTTGATTTCTTCTGGATATTTATCCAACCAATATTTGATCGCCTCAATTCCTAACTCATGCGTAATATTAGTGTACAAGCTGGTAACATCAAACCTAACAAGTAACGTTTCTCTTGGTACTGTTTGTGGAATATAGTTGAGGAAATCCATATCATCACGCACATAACTGGTCACTTTGGTACACAGTGGCTTTAAGATTATATCTAGTAGATTGCTTAATCTTTGTCTACTAGATGCGGGTCCTGCAATGATGAGCCTCAGTTTAAGATCATTTGGTCTAGGAAGTTTTATGTATGTAGAATTACATTTCTTGACATTTTCCTGGATTTCTTTACACTTGTGTATTTTGGGAAGACCATAAAAATGGCTAGTTTTAACTTCGAAATCCGTAAGGTATTCAATTTCATTTTTCGTGAGATTACCTTGGTACTTCTTTGTGATTTTATTTTATTTTGAGCATAGTTTGTCGATCTGTATTTTGCTCTAGTTTCTTATAGAACTGATTATCCAGGAGTTGAGTCCATAACTACTATAGCTCCTCCTTTATCGGCACTTTTTATGACAATTGTTTGGTCACTTTTAAGATTTTGCATTGTTTGATATTGATTATGTGGAATATTTGACGTTACCTTTTTATCCGCCATGTTGGAGTGAGCTGCCTTTTTGAGACATGAGATATAATCCTCCAAATGTTTATCTCTATTAAGTGGTGGCCTGAAACCTTTCCTATTTTTAACCAGAGATATATCATCATCGGTTTTATTTTGAAAAAAATCCTTCAAGCGTAATTTGCGGCAGAATTCTTCTGTGTCCTTAACGACATCAATCTTATCAGACTTTGGCGTAGGCCTGAATTTTAAACCATGTTCCAAAAGTTTTATTTCATCACTTTTTAAGTCTCGTTCTGATACATTGATAATTTTGGGTTCTGTAGAAACCATGTTTTCTGTGCTTTCAGGCCAGTTAATTATTTCTTCCGTTTCGTTTGGGACCAACCCTGTCCTAAAAAAGAATTCCTGGAATTCTGCAATGATTTACTCCTTGCGTCTCTCTGAGTTGTCCTCTGTTTAAAGGAAGAGTTCCTTGGAACTTTATATGTTTCTTGTGTTGCGTTTCTCCACGAGTTTTTATGGTTTGCCTTATTGGGTGCATTTCTCCCTCTAGCAAAGAATCTCCTTTGATCAATTCTACGTTGATCATGTTCTCTGTTTTG